TCTTTTCCGAAAAATGGGTACGTGTGGGTCGAAAGTAAATAAGTTTAACCATGGATTACCGTCATTAAATGAGTCTATTTCTCGAAAACGTCATTCACGTGGTAAGAAAAGACAACGGAGGTCAAAATTGAAAACACTTTTTTGTGGATGGCCAAAACGCGCTGCAACACCTGAGAGCTTATCGTTAAAGCAAGATTCCTGGGAACAGATAGCTCTTGAAAGCGAATCTGCGTCATTGGAAGAAATTCCTCGGTCTAAGGATGAACAAAGCTTTCACGAAATAGCAGCCTTCAAAAATATGGCGAAACCTGAGGAACTACGAATAACTAACACCCTTCCACACTGTTCCTTTGACGATGCAGCGTCGACAATCTCATCAATAAGTGACTTTGATGAAATATCTACAAAACAGCGAATATGGACCACTCCAGTGAACGAAATGTCAACGGAAATGACCACTTCTATCGCGAGAAACGATGATGACTTACTTTCTTCAAAAGTACTGCCGAATGAAACAAAATGCTCAATGCTAAATAAAAAACCTGCTCTACGAAACACTTCAGACAGTTCCACATCGCCAAAATCGACCAAATGTACATGTGACACGGCGTCACCTTTACTATCCCCAACTGACTCAGTTGAGGCGTCAAGGTTGTCTTCGTTGAATCGACCTTTGCCTACAACCAATGGGCACAATCTGCTTGGCTTTATCAACAATCTTGTTAACATCGTGGAAGAAATCGATCACATGGATGTTTCTGACCTAATGCTAAACACTAATGAGAAAGAGTTCATTCGAATATTAATGGATGGAAAATCTTGTGCGCAGACACATCACTCAAGCGTTTTGAACAGTCCCAACAGAGGTGGAGAATTTTTGCCGCATAGCTTTGGTACCGAGGCTACTAGTTCAGCGGACCTAGTGGATTTCCAAAATAACCTCTCAGTCTCATTTCGATCACCAGGTGGAAGATTTCCTGGTGAAGTAGTTAATAAATTTACAGATAATATGAAGGCAGGTGACTCCACCCTCTATTATGCTGAATCCCAGGTCAAAGGAGTGCCATCGTCAGTTGTTCGGAGACACCAATGTGGAAACAGATTCTTGCTAAAGACAAAAGAGAAAGCTGAGACTCCAATACCGATGCCGCGTGCCTTAAAACGAAGACAAACTGGTGGTGATCCAGTTTTGGCATTGCCACAGGCGGTGTCTGTGATCTCCCCTGATTTAATACCACCCAAAAGAAGACGGCTAGGCCAAATTAACCTCTCTGAAGTGACACCACTTAAGGGAGAGCTTCATTGGCACTTCTGGGTCCCGTGTCGTCAGGTTTCAGTATTCCACAGTAAAAATGACCGAAGAATGCAGTCAATCGCCAGAAACTCTAACTCTACCATTTACCTAACGGCCGAAAGAAAAAAGGGTCTTTTTGGTGACTGGCAGCAACTCGCAGTGATAGTGGCGCAGAGCAACTTTTGTTTGTCAAAGTGCAAGAATCTCATTGACGAAAAGTTTCCGACGTTCCGTGTGAAATGGGGTACATTGCGTCGCCCTGAACCAGTACAGTGCTAAACTTCAATCTTGGTTATTCGACCACCTCCTTCCGAAGTCCTCACCGCTAAATTGATTACTCTGTATACAGTCATTTCTACGACTATCCCATCCATGATTTCCTTAATTAACAATTTGATATGAGTGCTAAAAATTGAATGCAAAACAATGTAGTTCAAATCTGAATGTAAAGAAAAAAATAATTTGACTGCGTTCTTTCCTTGGTTGGACAAACTTAAATATTTCATATCCAAATTGGTTAGGCCATAACATTGGCAGAATTCGATAGTAGTTTTGCGTGGGTTTTAAGCTCTAATTATAGAACAGCTACTTTTAAGGGATTCAATTTTGTGGATATAGACCCTCATTAAAGTCAGCAATCAGCCCTTGATCACCGACGAATTTTTTTTGACTTCCAAATATAAGAAGTGGTAACCGTTATTTAACTCAAACGGATCAATAATGTCAGAATATTTTTACTTAGTCATCGGCTGCCAGCAACGTAATATATTCAAGGCTAACTTTTCCAGTCATATGACGAAGCATATGACTGATAGCCTTTGTAATGTTTGCAGTTTTTTCATAAAAAAATGCCCATTAGAAGGATTTTCAAGGTTATCCTCGTTTTATCAAGATTTCCTTTAGCAGCAGATCTTTTTCAATGTTTCAAAAAGTTTTCCATGAAACTTGGTGTCGAGTATAAAATTTAAAACTTATCATGACCACGACAATTAAATTGCTTCATTTGCTATTGACTCCATATTTATGACAAAATTTCTGTCCATTGCTATTTCTGATTTAGCTACACCTGGGTGCAAAACCAAGGTAATCACATGGCCACAGAATTTAGCTTCGATTGTATTTCCGAGGAAGCGAACAAACTACAGTGAAGTCGGACTATAGAGAAATTCAAGCACCCTGTGTGGAAGGCCAAGGAATGTGGATGTGAAAGTTGGTACATCTGCCTACTTCAATTCTTAATTAACATTGATCATTAGCACCTTTTAGTCATGGTGAACTAATCAATCAACCGCGGAAAAGGCAATGAGACTGAAAACCCATTTTATGATTGTAGAATCAAAAGAAAATGGGGATTTAACAGCGTCTCCTAGACCACCATAGTGCAGTTCACCACCACGATAATTCGCAACGAGTTGTGATAGTTGATACTGCGATATTAGTTTACTATAAACACTAGAGTGATAGTAGATTATACAAAATATTTACCTTTGCTGACCGTAATGGCACTCAGATACCCGATTATAAGTTAATGCACTCAAACCCTACAAAACGTACACAACATGTACAAAATGCATATTGAGAAAGTCACCATTGCTCAGGAATAGGTTTTTCATGAAGTGAAGATGCTTAATTGCTCTAATCACAAAATTCCTGTGTTACCGTTGAATGCTCCCACCTGCATTAACCCACCTATCAAGGCCACTCAAAGAGCGTATGACTAGGCCCATTTTGACGTCTGTAGAATATCCGAACCGTAGTATGAATAAGACTGGTACAACAGAACGGGCTTTATTGATCAATCACAAGCCAGAACCAATCAGGCGTCATCCATCCCAGGCCCCACGCCGGCTACGCCGCTCATTATATACTGCTTCTCTGTCTCTGGTTGACTGCATATCATCCTCGCATGCCATTCAAACGCAAAGGACAGAGGATTGGCTGGGACCTGTGTGATCCAATATGTCTGCGCCATTATAAGTCGCCACCTGTCTAAGCCACCCTTTGACTGAAAAAGTACAAGTTCTTTCTACAGTGCCATGTCGGTGTTCTGGCGCTGGGACGGTTTGGTTTGAGTTAAGCGAGGGATGTGCGTGTTGGTTCTTTGAGCGCTTGTCTTTAGCTATGGGTAGACGTAAAAAGGAATGGAAAATTCGATTTTAAGCACACGTTTTGGCCAGATCTTTCTGCCTGATTTAACAATGCTTAATTGCATTTGTCACCTAAATACTTTTCCATAAAGCTCAATCGAGTTAGTTCAACCATTTTATTAGTTGTTCCAATATGCATTGAGATTGCCAGTCTATGAAGAATTTAAATGTGCTTAGGAGTTTAGTTTGGCAGATAATCTCAAACGAATTTTGCGCAAGTGAGTTTCAAAATGTCAAAACAAGGTAAGTTGCAACTACTTAACGTAAGTTATCTCACCAACCAAATGTTTTACCGAATTCCCTCACGGAATAATTACAACTGTGTCATGGCTCACATTTTTCAGATCGCTTCGTGGTTATTGAATGATTTCCTTTTCGAAACCATACACTTCTGGACGTTGACTATAAACATAGTTATTCAAGAAATGCCAGTACGTGGAAATATTTTAATTACCGAAAAGCTGTAAAAGAAAAAAAACACTCAAGGTGGCTTAAGTCAAATGATGTGGTATACATAAGCTTCATAATTTTGACTTTTAATATTATAATTTTCCACGTTTGTTACCTCCGTTAAGCTAAATAAATCTAGGTGCTGAATGAGACAATAATAACAATGCACTTTCCATGGCCTTCAAGACGAATCAACCAAAACCTCTAATTGTTTGACTGTTCCTGGTTAAAAAGAAATGAGATGAACCCACTCCAGGGTGACATCTTAGCAAACTTTTGCAGTCGCGCCAGGAGACACCCACTACGTTGTTAAAAATAATTTCACTTGTCTCTCCCGCCTGGTGTTAGTCCACAACAGACGTCGAGTTCTACATAACCTGGAGGCTAAAATTAAGCAAACTCCCATACTAAAATACGTCAATAAGAAAGTCTACACGTTGCTGTAATGAAAAATTGACGAATTGCTATTGTTAGTAGGCTCAAACGGGTGATTTTGTTTTTAGTCTTAAACTTCAAGTGACTGAATTTTAACAAACCCGAGCGAAAAAATGACGCAAAGTTTACGAGGCAAATTTTATTGGAAAGCATGTTGAAGTACTTAAAGAATCCCGATATTTCATGTCAAATAAAAAATCAACAGATGAAGAGAAAATTGTGATTTTACCTCGTGTCAACGAGCATTACCAACCAGAACATTTTGGCAGCAACAGATCTCACGGAATCCGGCGATACACTAAAAAAAATTTTTGTGGACTGCCATGTCGGGTCGGTTTGTGTTCTGTTAAAACAAACTCTGATGGACACAGGAGCCTTTAGAACTGTCGAGTTTAAAAACGCAGCACACAGTAATGTTGATAAGAGGAAAAGAAAAATGCATTCACCTTCACGCAAAAATGTTGATAACAGCGCAGTTATTCCAAAATGTTTAGTGTCCCCCATTGTTTGGCAAATAGTCCTGATTTGACACAACAACCTGACCTAGCCCCCGAAAATCCAAGGCCACTATTCAAGTCAGTATTTCAGGAGTATATATTAAGACATTATTCTTTATGGGTACAATTCTGAGGTTGAGGTAAGACAGAAGTCACCAGAGAGCCCCAAATAGGCAATTACCGACCAAAAATACCACCACTGTAGGGCGTCATGCGTCGTTTTTCAAGCCCGTACAGTTCAAGAAGGGTAGAAAAGTCCGGATCAGTATCCCCGGGGCTCTGAAGGCGTTTCAGAAGACCCGGTTGAAGTTCGGACAGCAGTGCTCTCAGCACATCCTCTCGTGATTTGATCTTCATCGCATCAACCGACGCGAATGCCACAATAAGAAATGCAAAGACCAGTAGTTTAACAAACATCATTGGTTGTTCTTCCACGCACTCTGATTAAGAAGAAAGAAGAATCGAATTAAATACCTTAACAACCTCCTACTTAACTCGTCGGAAAGGTCGTAAATTAGATCAAGGTGTCAGCAGGCCGTAACCATCACTTGATATAACGAATACAAAAGCATGCCAGTTTATGTCCATGGACATAAGTTTGAATGCCTTCCTTAAAACGAAGAGTTTAGTTTTTGATCCAGTAGATTATGAATTTAAATCCAAAAACAATAACTTGATGAAATGTATTATGAATTTTTGTACAAAGACCCTGGAATTTGGATATAGTTGAAAACCTTTGTAGTGAGGCATCTATTGTAAAGACAACCAGCGGTAAATAATTGAATGGAACCAAATTACTTTTGCATAGCTTCAGGCCATTTTATACTAACTTTAGGAAAAGCAACAACTGCAAACTATTTTGTATTGTGTGTATTTTATTTACTCCTATTGATGGAAAATCATTTTCAATTTGCGTACATGCTTTAAGCTGTGATAACTATGGTATGAACTTTTAACAATACTAATGAGTTGCCGAACTGGCAAGCTCTTCTCTGCCTTTATGAACGGGGCTACCCGTAAACACATAATATTTACAGGCAATTTATAAAATGAGGTATACATTTTGAAATACCATAGTATTTATAAGACGACATCCATTTATTTAAATTTAACCTAAAATTAACATATTTAAAGTGACCCCTTTACTGGAGGACCATTTAGTCTGACAAGAGGCTGTTAAAAAATCACACATTCATAGAAAAATCAGCTGTTTAAAGGGTATTACGGTGGTTTAAGAAAGACTAACTATATTTTGTTTGAATCTAGGCTATTTTGGACAAACGTACCTCTACTTGTATAAAGTTCAATTTCCCGTAATCCTACTAACCGCATCAATATATATTTTCACATCTAATTTCTAGTGAGTTGATTGGCTGCTGAGATGAAACGCAAATGGCAGTCTCGGTCCCCCGTTCAGTTCGTGCGAGATATCATCTGCATTGTACCGTTAAACGCAGTTACTCGATTTAACAGCCCCGATACGAAAATGCTTAAACGGCAAAGACATTTGAAGTTAGATATGCAACTTCTTATTCGAATGCCCCAATCACCATTAAACTATTTTTAACTGCGCAAATTATAACTAGTAGAGATATATGAAGTTGATTTGAACTTGGTATGCCTGAAAATTATTTAAAAAAAACAATGCATTGTAATACCGAATTAGTTGAGGAACCAAGACTGGGTCCATACTTTTGATTTACTTCTTGCATCCTGTGAACCCTCGTGTACCCACAATTTGAAATGTAGTCAAGTGTAATGCAGGCTACCATCTAGAAATGATAGCCCTTTAAACCGCCATGACCATTCCGGTAGGTGGCGTCAATCGAATTCGCATTGAATACTAAAACGGGATGCTTAGTTCAATTCACTGGCCGGACTTGCTCTAGGTATTCAAAACAAGAAGTGAGATCCATGATTTTGCTCTTCAGTAGAACCGGGTTAAACAATGAGTCCTGCTAGCTGATTCCTACGGCACTCAAAAGTGAAAAGTTTTAATTTCTTTTAGCGGTTGATATTCTACTCGTGGATTCCCAGCCACACCGGGGCCGCCCAATATTGTGCTCAGTTGAGCTGGAAAATTTAGAAGACCCAAAGTGACGTAGACAAAACCGCTTATTAGATGTTTGTGTGGTGTCAACATACTTACAAAATGGTGTATGCCCAATGGGGCTGTTGATGAAGAGAGGTCGAGTGTCCAAGTAGGAAAGTGGTCGGGTGAGCGGTAGAGGAGGGGGTTTTGCGCACAGGAGCGTTTGATCAGCAGTGTTTGTATGAGTGACGGGAAGGCAGTGAAAAGGTTGAGGATGCAGCTGAGGATGTGGCGACAGAAGGGATGGACGTAAATCATCACGAGTCACAATTAAAACCTGATGTAGTTTAGGTCCAAGCTTCCCAAAGGGATCATGGCTCTCCGGCGGCTATCAAATTATAATTGCATCTACGATACTGAAAACAGGATCCTTAAAATGACCTTTGCGACTGTGACATTTAAAGTAATTCAAGCTTGATAGACAAACCAATATCAGTAAGTGTCACAAGGCCTTACATGTCGTCATTCTTTAACATCAATTTGCACCTCCTATGATTTCTTCAAGGGCGTTTTCAACAACGTGGTTGGTGGCTAAACTCATAATAGAACCATAGGCGTCACTTTACGTCTCGAAATGTAGGCATCCATTCGACATCCTGCCGAGTGATTACTTACCGTCGTTGCTCAAAATGAATTTGCCATGCAGCAGGTAAAAGGTCATGTCTGATTTCGAATGTTGACGCTCTTGGTGCCCACAAGTGCCGGCTTTCTAAGCCAAAATTTTAAGCTTCAATTCTCAAGAAGGTCGTTTTTTAAGTTCTATTTAGAAAGTAAGTTTCGAGGCCTAGGCTATAGACGTAGCCTGACAGCAAACCAGCCAGCCATGAAAGTGATATAGAGTTCTTTTTTTGGAATGGAAAGGCAATAGTGCTTATTAATGACCACATATTTTTGAAAGTAGAAGCTGGCCCAAACAAGCCTCAACAGACCGGTATTTAATGCAAGTGAAAGTGGTTTGTAAAGCGTGTTTACGAGTGTCAGGGTCCAGAATGATTAAAGGTAGATGATACAGCATGGCCAGAAGCTCAGTGATGTAAATGAGCACTACTTCGTGCATAGGAAACGAGATGTCCGATTGAGCGAGTTAAATTCACTACAGGAGGGAAGATAAATACAAGGTGTGAGGAAAACCTTCGATTAACAAAGCATTAACATCTAATTCCAACAACTAAATCCAGCACAACGCACAAATTCCGTTGGGGTTCCAGCAGAAGTCGACTATCAAAAAGATGTCTTCATCAAGAAAACAAAAATTGGAAGGTTTACAGTCCACTAAGACGTTCGTAGATCAGCCCACTTCCTTTTGGTAAGGTATTTATCATACAGATGAGGCCATGTTAAGGCTCGGATTTGTCAATAAGATTATTTTTTTCATTCGAGAAGCATGCTTCACAATGATCCTTCTTATCACAAATCGAAGTAACAAATAATCTGCCATGGTGCTTATATTACTGATCACCTCCGCACATTCAAAGTTCATGCAAATTCCTGCAGATAGCCTGGATCTCGATGTGATTCACAGCGGTTTTGAAGTCATAACAAATAACAGATAAATCAAATTACTTGCACTTTTGAAGGCAAAGTCCTGCACTTTTCTTTGTACTTACGCTTCGGAAAATTGAATTTTCTCCCACTAACATTCAAAACTTGTCAGCTCATTGCAAGATTATTTACCTCAATTGCCAACAGACTGCGGCAGGAATGGGAACATGTTGGATTATTAAGGGTTTTTATACGCTAAAACACAAGTATGCCAGTAGGACAGTTTAATTTGATTCTGCTTTCCAGTAAGCAACCAAACAAAATTTGGCCTTATACTAATTGGCATCTCATATTTTGTATAGTTGCAGGTTGGATATTTGTGAATGTCAGACCAAGCTGGAAAGTCGAATAACTGCGCAATGACCAAAATGACCACACAGTTAAGGATTAATACCGCTAGAAATAATTGCTGCGCGTGTTACGTAAGAGTGAAAAACCATACCAACAATAACTGCTGAGGGTAGTTCCAAGTAAGTGTTCATTTACTGACCCCACAACTTTATTGGTCGAATTGCAATGCAATACGGAGAGATAAAGCACACTATCAGCAATGACCACAAGACAAAGCGATTGCGTTCCACTCCTCGCGTACTTTGTTCCTGGTCATCCTAGGTTGACTGGATTGCGGTTTGTGGTGTTCATGCACAAACCAGTTAAACGGAACTTACAGATGACGATTACCAAGTTAAATCGAGTGACGATGCACATGGAGTTCTTTCTTGAGGATAATTACAGGACTCTGACATGCGTTTATGTAACATTCTTGAATACACGCATACCTCCGTTCTCAAAAGGTGGTGTATTCAATGTATTTAAGTAGTCAATGTTTTGTTGATAGTTGCGGCACGATTATGCATGAAACAGCCAAAGCGCAAATACACAACTTCAGGTCTTCCGTGGCAAAGCAGAAGGTGCTTTTGACGTCAGAAACCTGTGAAATTATGAAACTGTAATCACACATAAAATAAGACGAGTTAAATACAAAAACGTAGTCATTAGCACATACGAATTGGTGGAGAGCGGCTCCGGCAACTAAAGCCCACTAAACATAAGGATGTGAAAAAATGGTTTCAACGAGGCACACTTTAGCGTTAAATTCATGTAGCTATCCATCTATGGGCTCTTGATACTATATCAATTCTCACACAGTTCCGTTACCACTGGTGAAATGACAAAAAGCGCAAGACCAGCAATGTGGACTAATAACTAGCGGCAATAAACTGAGATAAAATACAAAGTAAAATGACCGCATTGTAATAGGTGCAAGTGCTGTCTCAAAGAGAGTGTAAAATTGGCTCCAGCAAGATTTGTGATTGCCAGGACTGGCAAAATTGGTATAGACCTATTTGTGATTCTGAAAGTAAACGAAATTCCAGTACCAGGATGCTGAAAATACTCAGTGGGAAAAGCGGAACCAAGAAACGCTTAGCCAGTCGCGGACTAATACTTCGGCCATTTCAAATCACTAACTTAATGGAACGACGCACAATACCCAGTGAGGAAATACTCCGAAACGGAATTTTTGAATGCACATAGACCGAGTGTCACTTAGACAAACAAATTGATATAAATCAGTTTATTTACAAGATAGATTACATTCATAGACTACTCAGTTGTCACCACCATCGATCTTTCTCTTCTTTGTCTTTGATTGGGCAGACTGCCAGAGTGCATGTTTCACAAAACGTTGAGACGCCTCCTTGTTCAATCGCAGGTGCTTGATTTCATTATTCTGCTTGCCACAGACATTCTGGCACCGTTTTAAGCAAGCTGTCAAGCGTTCCTACAAATGTTATTTCAATGGTACTTACACGTATTTAGTAAGGCTTGGGTTGACAACAATTAAAAAGATAAAAACTTTAATGAACTCTATAAAACAACACAATCCGAAAACCACACTTATTAACTGACAAAAAGGTTTCATTAGTAAGATTAGTGGCCTAGTGGTAGAAAGTATATCAACTGTAATTTGTAGAAAAGCCAGGTAATTTGTTCCAGCGCTAGGAAGTACGAAGCGCGTAACAATGCCCTAATTTGTAACACCTCAATGATCACGTGCAATTTCAAATGATTATGTATACACTTATGCACCACAAAATAAGTGTTATGCACATTTTCAAATGAATACTACATTAGCACCAAAGCAGTCAAAAACGAGTAAGAAACCTGAATTAACGGTAGACTTTGAGTGACTCCTAAAGAGACAAAACGATAAACAATTTTGCTCAAAATACGGATGTCGATCATCTACAGAAGAGCTTAACACAACAATTAGTAGGAATGATAAATGGAACCTGTGGGGGGATTCTATGAAAATCGTTCCGTGTCGTGGATTACACATCATTTTATAAAAAGTAAACATACCAACTCTTTTAGAATTGGATGATTCTTCACATCCACGCCATTGCAACGGAGATATACTATAATGAATTGACCGGATATTAGAACCAAAAATTAGAAGCCTCAAATGGATGTTTTAATTATATCCAGGTAGACTTGCCGAAAAATAATGCGTTCATGGTATACGTTAGGGAAAGTTCCGTCTGAATGCGTTCAATTGACGACAACTACAAAAATATTTGCACTGAAGTTTACGCAAAAATCTGAATACCTTGGTCTCACACGATTTGAGAGCCTCCTTATAGGAACCTATCAGTTCCCATATTACCTGAATAGAACTTGAAAAAGTGACCAAGTGTTGGCTAATTTCATTTGGAATTGAGTCGAACAGACCACCATCCATTTCAGAAGGTCGGCTATTTAAAGCTCACCAACATGCTACCACAATGTGTTGAATTAGATCAACTAAAACAATAACAAAATTTTAAAAAAAAATTAAAATAAAAATATAGTTGTTAGATAGCGGTGATAAGCTCTTCAAATTAAAAGCCAATTATAGGCTAGAAACCTAAAGAGAGTTCACTGGCAAATGCGTGATTTGAACTGCGAATAGCTAGAGTCCCGCCTTCTGATTGTGGTTCGTGACAGAATGTCTCTCATTGAGGAATTTCACCTGATGAATCTTGATCAGCGATTATTATCTGTAATACACCTTTACATAATTTATGGATCTTCTAGGCGATCTCCGACTTGAAGTGGAAAAAGCCAACTGATATACAACAGGCTGTTATTCCGCTTGTACTTGAAAAGAAAAGCCTGAGTGTTCAAGCCCGTACTGGATCGGGAAAGACGGGTGCATTCTCCATTCCTATAATTCACTCCATACTTGAAATGAAAACGGTATAATAATGTTATTTAATACATTCCAAACTAGTTCCAAGTTGAACAGAATACTTCAGCGTTAATTTTATCTCCAACCAAGGAACTCTGCAATCAAATAGCAAGAGACTTAAGATCTTTGTGTAAATATGCGTCAAAAACTGTTAGCGTCCTCGACGTTGCACAGTCTGTCGACATGGATGTGCTAAGGTAAATAATTAGCTGATTTTCTGTGCGCCCCCCCCCCATTTCTTTAAGCATATTGATGCTTCTACTTTAAGGCCTCTTCTGGCTGAAAATCCGGATATAGTCGTTGGTACACCATATAGGATTTTAGCACAGCTCCACAGAAAACGCCTTAATCTCAAAAATCTAACTCATCTTGTGGTCGATGAGGCTGATTTAATTTTTACCTTTGGGTACGAGAAAGATATGCAGGAACTAAAAAATTTTCTTCCAAAAAAGCCAATTCAGGTAAGTTCTGTGTGTTAATGGAGGTTTTTGCAGGTTATCCTGATGTCAGCTACGCTTGATGAAACAACAAATTCACTACGTCGTTCTCTCAAAAGTGGCGAATGGGTTCGTGTAGAATTGCCTGAAGAGAACTTTTTGCCTTCCGAGTCCCAGCTCACACAATATATAATCAGGTAATAGAATGTATATTACTAACATTTTCCAGTGCCGAAGAATCGTCCAAATACGCCATACTTATTTCCATGATTCAACTTAAGCTAATTCGTGGTCGTACTCTTATCTTTGCAAATTCAATTGACAGATGTTACAAGTACTTTCCGCTTTTGTTTTACAACTTTTGAGGTTAAAACTATTTCTTGAGGAATTCGGGGTCAAATCTGTGGTTCTGAATTCAGAATTGCCTGTAGCAACAAGATGTCATACGGTTCAACAATTCAACAAGGGTCTCTACGACTACTTACTAGCAACTGATGAAAACGAGAGTGGGACAGTTCCAGATCCACCGAAGAATTCTAAGTTGTAAGTTGTCTTTTCAGAATAACTATGAAATCTTTCATTTTTTCTTTGAAATAACACAGTATTCATAATTCCACTCGACTTGAACGTTTTAAATAATTTATACGGTAAATGTCATGTTGAAGGCAGCAGGTATTCGCACTAATTGATTAAGAAATGATGGGTTATGATAAAGAGGAATAAACGGGCTATGTTTTGTTGAGTGTTTTATTTTTTAACATGAGTAAAAACCAGAACCTTTACTTTTTTTATCGTAATAGATTATTCCAAGACATCTTTTTGTGTAGCCTATAATTAATGTCAAAAATGCTATAGTCAGGTCAATGAAATTTGCACCAAGAGAAAGGTTTTTTGAAACTGTGGCCCCCAGACAGGGTAACCATAAGTTGATTGTATATAATATATTTGTAATTGATGTTTCCCCCCCAGCGCCCGACCCAAAAAGGATGCCGAGTATGGTGTCTCACGTGGCATCGATTTCAAACTTGTTAGCAATGTCCTCAATTTCGACTTCCCGCTAACGGCGAAGCGGTACGTGCACCGTGTTGGTCGAACGGCACGAGCCGATCAAATGGGCACAGCCCTCTCCTTCGTCAACAGTTCCGAAGAGTCTCGTCTATCAGAGGTGGCAAATCTCCTGTGCCAGAAAGATCCCTCCACTTCACAAGTCAGTCAGAAGGACAACTCAGCTGGTACAAACGTTTGCCCTAATTTATTGAAAAAATTTCACCTTTTCTGTAGTTTATCCTTTTCAGTGTGACTTACACGTCCGATTTTTAGAAAATTAACCCTATGCACTTGGTGGTGGTTCATAATTCGAGTGTTAAATCCATGCTAAGTTGAATCATTGAAGTGTTATTTTTATACTATGGGAACATTTTTTCCAAGTCAACTGTAGGCCATAAGGCGAAAAGCCCAGCGTCAGTGTATCCTGCCAATCTGGGGCCTTAGCTAAGTAATTTGTCAGAACCTTGGAAGTCGCATCTGGGACCTGGTCCTATACTTCAGTGCGCCTTGGAAGTGGATTGTTTAAGGGATTTGAAAAACAGTAACCAGTGAACAGATCGTGAATTTAATAAATTTCTTAACTGGATACTTGTTAATGCGAAACAATGCAATGCATCTTTATGAATAGTGTGAAGGTAGTTGATTGTAGTGTTCATCTTTCCAACCTTGTTTTCTTACAGTACACTTTTATTTTTTCTATAAATTGTGCCATTTGTACATTCTCTTGAAGTGTAAAAATGCCCATTTTCTATTTGCAGTCGAATCCATCTTCCGACCATATCAGTTCCGATTGTCTGAAGTCGATGGGTTTAGATATCGTGCGGCGGTAAGCTCATATGCATTAAATTGAGGCTATCTATTTACACCCTTTAAATTCCCTTTTTTGTAAAAGGATGTAATTGGCAAAATCACTCGCAAGCGGATTCGTGAGGCACGATTAAAGGAGATCAAGGTGGAGTTGCTGAATTCGGCGCGTTTAAAGGGCTACTTCGAAGATCATTCTGCTGATCTCGTTGCTCTACGTCACGACAAACCCCTTTCTACAACGCCTCAGGCACATCTCAAGGATGTTCCTGGGTACATGGGTGGGTTGAGCGTTTTATGAATATCTAGAACCTAATTATTTTTTATTTCCTGACATGCACCGCTTAACAAACCGCCTCAGTCAACTCATCGCACATTGATTTACTTTTCATGGGCGAACCACTCACCTACGTTCATACATCAAACCCTTTTGATTAAGCGCATAGCTGGATTTCCAGTTGTATGTTCAAGCCCCAATAACAGCATGTTTGCTTTCCAGTTTTCGCCTAAGATTAACTCAAACTTACAAACAAACTATATTTTTTCATTCGTTTTACAGTTCCACCATCCCTGCAAGCCCTGATGCAGAGATCGAACCAGCGTGTCAGGGACCGCCAACGCTACAGGCTATCCAATCGGGCCAAGGAAAAGCAACAGTTTCGACGCAAGGAGGCATCTACTTCTCGTGAAACCGAAAAACCAATTAAACTGAGTCGACTGAGGAGCCACAAGACGAAGATGGCTATAGCCAGGAACCCCGACAAGGTGGCCCAGATCAAACGCCAACTGGCACGTAGGGTATGATACTCTAATTCACATATTTGTCTCCTTGTTGATCTTAGAAGTTTTGGTCATAGCCTCTATGAGGGTAGTGCCTCGTACTAAAACGCGTTTCTTTGGTTACATTACCAAACATTCAGTGTTTGAAGAGCACCCATCTAGCACGACGCCCAGAAACACTAAATCCAAGAAGTTCGCTAGCATTATTTTGCCTGGTACCTCGTATACATCAACCATTCGAGCGAATTGATCCACATTTAATAAAGTCACCCCAAATTTTAACACTTGTAAAGTTCTAAATCATAAATAGTTATTATCTGACGGACAACGTTTAATGCCTAAGGGTGATCGATGGAACCAATTGTAATGTCACGTTGAAGTCTGCAACAGGTTTAAAATTAAGCCTCATAGCTGGCGTTATGGTTATAAACCTCTTCAAATTACTTGAGTCCGTTTTGTTTGTAGGCTGTGGGATAATACTACGTGCTGGATATTTTAAAATCGGTATTAACAGTCTGCTTTTTAAAGATGATTCCTATGAACTGCTTTCGTGAACTTACAGTTTATGAGCAAAGGATCCATGTTGAAGGACACATGCACATTGATGATGACTTTTGTGATTGTTCGTGTGTGAACCCCACTACGCTGCTTCACATGCTCAGAACCATCTTAGTCGCTTTGATATTTTTGGTCGCCTACCACATTGTCAATTAATGTTTCAGTCTTTTGAGTTTTATTGAAATGTAAAAGCCATCTTCTTTTGGGGACATCCTGTTACGCCGATACCTCGAACTATCCTGAAAATACTTTATATGGCCCAAAATATCTAGTTTCATTTTCCTGTAAATACCTATTCGATTAATTTAATTCTTATTTCGATCTTTTCGTGATATCACATGAAAGGGATATCCTGAAAGTTAGTTTTTATAAGCTATAATCGTCTGCGAGGTTACACATTGACTCCTTTTAAGGGCAGTTCTGATCAGTTCCCAATATTACACCCGTACAGGTACAAATTATGATCAAAAAATATCAACCCAGTATTTTACACTCGTGTTTTCTAATTTGAATTTATGCCTGTACCCATCATTACGTGCTCTGTTCAATAATCACAGTCGTTTTAACTTTAACCGCAATTCAGTGTTTTTTTTTTAATTTTAGAAAAAGGCTGCCAATCCGCTGTTTTCTTTCGGAAAAACAAAAGGTAAAGGCAAAAAATCAAAATGAGTTATTTTTTAATTGCCTGAGTGTACATTGAATAAATGTGATTTTTAATCTATCTCTATCTAACCTGACGAAGAAGTTGTCAGCAGCTCTTGGACAACATAACAGTATCGCCTTTGCCCTCGATAACCACTCACGTCTGCGCAACTTCGCGCACTTCTTGTCGATTTGCACTAAGCAAGTCACCATTACCAACCGATTTGGACAATAGTTGCTACAGGCCCAAAAAAACACACTTGTAGTGCGGTTTTGGGAACCAAACCAGGGCCGACAGTGAGTTGACACGGCTTAACCAAAAGAAAGGTGGAAAAATGCAGATGGCGCGTAGCTCAGCTTACTGATGCAGTAGCGGTGTGTGTGGACAGGATAACAGGTGCGCTTATATAGCATTGCCAAGTATTGATCTTGACAATAGTACCTTTCCACCCATCTCAGTTATCATTAACCAGGCATGTGGCCCGCTGTCTGTAGTTCTGATCGCGAGCACCAACTTGAATGCAATCGTGGCGTTGGAAGACATCTTTTTCACTGACTGTTAAAGTCACTTTTGGACAACAGAATCACGTTCGCCCTCAACTTTAACAAAACAAATATGGGCAAGTTATTATGATTATTATTAAACGGATTGACAAACCATCAAACAACGAGGATTTACACAAATTGACACAGGCATGGTATGAGGCTAAGGAAAGAAAAGGCGTCGTATTTGGGCTAAAATGCACAAGTAAAACAAGCCATGTGAAGGATACGGAGGTGCGTGTGCACCGTCGCCCTCTACAACTCTTCGATGCCAAGAACACGGGTGCGTATGTTGAGCGAATCCTTCAGTAGGTTATCCCGAAGGCTCCAGAGGGCGTCCATAATGGTGCCGTGGTGAGCATGTAGCTGTGGAGTGTCGAGGAAGCCCGCGGCGAGCTGCTGCTGCTGCTGGGGTGTCATCGGAGGCACTGAATCCACAGTGGCTGAGATTTGCTTCTTCCAGTCGCTCAGGCCGGGAGCATTACGACGCAGGCGGTCTATGTACCTAGATGGAAATATGTACTCTAGTCAACAGCCCGTGAATTCGCTGACCCCTCTGCGAAGCCACCTTACGAGGCACGTGGGTAAGTGTTTTAGATTGAGTAGACCTTGGTCACATCTC